TAGATTTACATATTATTTGTAAGACATTCTTATTAAAAAAATTGTTATGTAGTAACACACGCTTTATAATGACATAATAAGTGTCATCAAAAAGTATTTTTATCCACACATTGAATATATTATATGCCGGTATATTATTAAATTTTTTTAGAATAAGTTATATAGTGGCACATAAAATATGTTATTAAATCACATTCAAAATTAACACTTAAATTATGTGTTGCTATATGTTAAATAAATATATACCTATATATATATATTATACTTTTAGTGATATTTTTGGTATGTTATTGTATGTAATATTTTTTTTATAGTGTGTTATTTTTGGAAAAAAAAGAGTACAAATCTACAAATTAAAGGCAGTATGTAGTTTGGTTAGCCCAATTTGTATAGACTTGCATTAAGATTATCCGATTTTTGATAAAGTCCATAAAGTTTAAACTCAACTAATATAAGATATATTAATTTGTAATCCATACATATGTTTGTGTATGCTACGCGTGCAGCTTTTTCTTATTTGTAGTCTTAAGTCAAATGGTCCACGAGTAAGTTTATATTACTATTTTTTTATTTTTTATTTTTAACTTCAAGAATAGTTTTACAAAAGAATAAAATGTTTTTCATATAGGAAAATGAGTTAGCTGTTGCAAACCAAATCCATTTCTGTACGAGTTCTGCGGTTTAATGATCACGTAAAATATCCACGATTAAGAGAACCAAACCCACACAAAATGTTATGCAGTACTACATTGTAGGGCATGTACCTATCAAAAAATACAAAGTTAAATTGGCCAAATACTGAATAGTTATTTTTGAAGCAAAAGTCTCGCATTCCCACTCAATAATTGCGTTTTCGTTGTCTTTTTTATGAACTTTGTTACCGATATGCGAATCACCACAAGGTCCTATTGATTTTCTATCTGAAACTGACCCTCGATGAAAGCGAATTTTCTGTCGGCTCCTAACACATGTAAAAAGTTGATCTTAAAACATTCCCTTAATTACTAAGGGTAGGAACGATTTCCAAAAAATCATTCAACTTTTTATGATGATATGATAGGAAAGCCTTATATATCGTACATTGGTGATAGACTTATAGTAGCATATCACCAATGTTCTTGATCATTTGGAAACCCTTTCTTACAGCATATATAAACCGTAGTCAGTACATGTTATAGTCAATATCTTGAATCACTGGCTGCTTTTGAGCACCTTACCCGGTTTTATTTGGCATGCATGGATATGATTTGAAAAGGGGGTTGTTCATGGTGGGATTAGTTTATATTTGAGTGAAAAATAACATCTAAATTTATTAAATTTGATTAATTCAGTTTGATTTAAAATTTTTAATTTTTTTCCTAACTCGAATTAATTTAATTCGATGTTGAATCGATTGATTAGAATAAAGTCATTGGATATCCAATGAAAAAAAAAATAAACAATATATTTTAATAAATTACAAATGAACATGATTTTGTCTCAAAATTGCTAAATAATGTTGTATAAATGAATATAAATTACATATTTAAATAAAATTAATTTACACTAATTAGATAATAATATAAATTATAAAATGTAGTACATGAATAATTGATTAATTCATACTAATCCATCCATGATAATAGAAAAAAAATTATCTAAAAGGAATGAGGATTTCAAAATTTTAATTGTGAAGATTTATTTGTGATACATCGAACTTTTAACCCACAAACTCTTATCAATATGTTTTTAAGCTTTTTGTTTTTCAATGTTGACCATATAAAATTTCAGTCAAAAAAATGTTGACCATATAAAATTAAGATTTTTGTTTAATTTAAAAATTATTTAACCATTTTTTTCATCTATCAAAATTGTAATAATAACACCGAAATTTTAATATAAAATTTTGTAAATACTATCCCAACCCTATTATTATTAAACCGACAACACTAATAGTTCATTATTTAATCGTATAAGGAAGGTGACATTATCAATATAATCTTATTAAATAATTTTTTATTAACCAAAAAAGTCAAATAAGCTTATAAACCAAGAACAATTTCCGATTTAATCTTTCTATATATGGATTCTTCCGCGCTTCCTATTTTTATAATAGACAATTTCCTAGGTAAATTTCCTTGGTCTCTAAGAATCAAACTTGGTCAAAGCTCTACCACATACATATTAATTACTAGAAGAAAAAAAAACCTGATTAAATCACCTCAACTTACAAGTTACAAATTTATAAAGGCTAAATTAGTAAATTCAGTTATTAAAAAGAGACGATTTTCTTATAAATGTTTAAGATATATATATAGAGATTTTGTTTACTATAAGATTAAATCTATATAGACTTATCATGTTTAATAACTCATATTCAATTAAGATTAAGTCTATATAGACTTATCATGTTTAATAACTCATATTCAATGGATTCGTTAAAATTTGATATAGAATATGAGTTATTGAATGAGATAAAGTTAAGTAAACTTACTTATAAAATAAACAAATTCTTTTTCATATATATATATATAT